AGCCAATTACTAACTGTATGATCACACAAAACCTTTAATTTTTCAAGTCCTAGTTCCTTCATCTTCAGGAGAGCACTGCCTATTGTAGGGATTAAATATAATGGATACTGACGGTAGTATTCAATAAAAAGAATCAATTTTACTCAGCCTTCCTTATCTGCCGGTTCAGCCAACTGTGGATTCCATCAACCACCGATCCAAAACATTCAAGGAAAAATACTGTATCTGTACAGAATATATACTTCTTTCTTTGTCCTTATTCCACAAACAATACAGTATAACAACATTTATATAGCATTCACATTGTATTTCTAAGTAATCTAGAGATAATTAAAAGTAATCAAGGGCCAGGGAGATGGCTCAGTGGACTAAGCACTTCCCTGGCAAGCGCAAGGGCCTGAATTCAATCCCTGGTTCTGCAAAAATAAATAAATAAATAAATAAATGTAATCAAGAGGATGAATATAAGCTATACGCAAATACTATTTCATTTAAGAGACTTAAGCATTTAGGGATTTTGGTACCCTTGAGGTGCTACAACCAATCCCCTATTGTCAATGAGGCCTGTTATCCTCTTCATAAATAGTTTTTAACATCTCTATGTTATAGTAAGTGGCTCATTTGGGATCTAGTAAAAAGAATGTAGGATTTGGAACCTGAAAATCTAGATTTGATTCTAGGCACTCTCTATATACTAAACTTCAGATAATATGTGATGTTTCTTAACATAGACTACTCAAACATTACCAGACAGAGTGAGAGCACAAAAGAAAGTGAGAGAGCAAGAGAGGGAGAGAGGGAGAGAGCGAGATGGCAAGAGAAAGCAAACACAAAGGACAGTGAGAGAGAACAAGGGCAGTAGCATGCCCACACACCAGCTGCTACTAGGGAGGCTGGGGAAGGAGGTTTGCTTAGGCTGAGGCCAGCCTGAAAAACACATCAAGAGTATGTCTCCAAAAAGTAAAATAAAAGGTGGATGAGCAGAGACTTATATTAATGAAATGACATAGTTTATAAAATGGCATAAACCGTATAATACCAAAAAAATTAGTTTTTACTAAATCCAAAGTGTTCCTGCTCAAAAAGTACCTGTTTTCTATGATTAAAAGGTACATAACTAAACAAATGTCAAGGCACTAAGTAAAGCAAGTTAAACCACTTAGCTCATGGTAATAGTCAACTACTGTCACTAACAGCAACGTCAAACCTTATTTAGAACTTTCAATGACAACAATCCACTGCAGCATGAGGGCCAGAGTTCACCACCATAGAACATTATTTCCTAGCCCAAATGATATTCGTTTGTTTTTCTGTTTGTTTTTTGCGGAACTGGGGATTGAACTCAGGCCCTTGCGCTTGCCAGGAAGCACTTATTCCACTGAATCATCTCCCAGGCCCCTCAAATGATGTTCTTGATGAAATTCCAGCCAGATAATCTAAAGTAAAAGTTAAGCAATACAGAACTTTTTTTGTCCTTACCTAACCTAGCAGTCTACATTCTAAGAAACTTTTCCTAAGCACTATTTTTTAGACAGTCTCAGGTTGATCTCAAACAAGTGATCCTCCTGCCTCAGCCTACTGAGTGCTAGAATTGCAGGCAATCAACATCACACTCAACTTCCTTTTTTTTTTTTTGGCGGAACCAGGGATTGAACTCAGGCCCTTGTGCTTGCCAGGGAAGCGCTTATTCCACTGAGCCATCTCCCTGGCCCCCCACACTCAACTTCTTAAGCAGTTTATAGCCCACTAAGCTTTCCTTCCTTTCTACTCCCCCAAATAATTCCCATAGCAAAGGCAGTAAAAAAAGTAGTGAAGAGCAAAGAAAACTGACCCAATGTGTTCAAGTTAAGGAGTAAATGTTCTGGCCATAATCCACCAGAAAAATTTAATCATGTCAAAACAAACAGAAGTTGGAACTAGCAAAGACATCTCTATAGTCTCAAAAAATAAAATAAAATAAAAAACACTTTCTATTTTTAGAATTACTTCCCCGATAACTTTTAAACCCTGTCCAGCAGGGCGTGCTAGCACACATCCATTGACTCTTTAATCTTGGAGGCTGAGGCAGGAGTATATCAAGTTTGAGCACAGCTGGGCAACTGAGTTCCTTAGAGACCCCATCTCAAATAATGGGATTTTTGGGGTGTTTTGTTTTGTCTTGTTTGCAGAACCGGGGATTGAACTCAGGCCCTTGCACTTGCCAGGGAAGCACTTATTCCGCTGAGCCATCTCCCGGCCCCCTCAAAAAACGTTTTCAAAAAATGTTAAAGGGGAGCTGGGAAGATGGTTCAGCAGAATAAGCGCTTCCCTGACAAGCACAGGGGCCTGAGTTCAATCCCCGGTTCTGCCCAAAAAAAAAAAAAAAAAGTTAAAGGGCTGAGGATGTAGGTCAATGCAGAGGCCCTGGGTTCAAGATTCAGTAGTGGGTAAGGAAATCTTTTGAGAACTTCAGCCATCACTAATACAAATTAATAGTCAATGGGTCTCAAAGAGCTAATAAGATGCTCCATGGACTCAACTGCACTATGCAAAAGAACTTCTTAGAAAAACAGGACTGTACTTTCAAAATCTAAGGAAACAAGAAAATAAAAATTGAACTCACAAAATAAACCACACAAGCAGTAACACAACTAATATGCATTCAATATACGAAAAACAAAATTCTCACAACGCAAGTGACTATAAGCTTTACCTAAGAAGAGGTACATATTTATGCCAGGTATTATTTATAACCCAGTCAAAGTACAGATAGGACACAGAAAGGCATTTCCAGCAGCACTTGTTCCTTAGTCACAGCACCAGACTCAACAGCACCACTTTCCACCACAAGAACAGCTATGTGTTCTGGGCTTGTCTGATCCTGAGTCTAAGCCCCTCAGGAAGGCAACTGGTGGCATGGACCAATCATGCAGCCCAAAGTTATAATGACTACTAAGGCACTGTAATAACCATAGTTACATACAAATTTCATCTCTTTCCATAAGATCAGAATACCTCCCGGTTCCACTAAGAGGAGGAGGAGGAGGAGGAATTGTTGTTTTTGTTGTTGCTGTTGTTGTTGGGGCAGGGAAAGTGGTCCTTGACAGCACTGTCTAACATGACTTATCCTAGGCAGGGATACCACCAACCAAGTTTCAAAGTGCTTGAAAGTTATACTATGTAGCAGGATAAAAAAAAAAAAAAAGAAAGAAAGAAAAGGATGAAGGGGGTAAAAAAGCATTGAGCACACAATTACCTAAAGAAGAAACAGTCAACAGACAGGTTAAAACATGTTACTTAGCAGCATTTGCCAACACACAGCAGTTACCACACCATATACTTGTAGGATTACCCAACATGCAAAACAAAAAGGAGCCAACCCTTCAAGCCAGAAAAAGAAAATAACTTTTCTAAAATGGGGTTAATTTAACTTCTTGGTTTCCTCTTTTCAAAATCTTTAAAACTTTCGGCAAATTAAGGTTCACCTCAACTTCAAGCCTTTTCCTGATAAATTGAAGAAAAGTTTATCTTTAATACTGTTAACCTACACAATCACTTTTCTATTTACTAATGATATCCACATATATACAATGATATCCACATATATACAAGCTTTTAAAATGCTTTTGAAGGTTAAATATAGTTTGCAAAACACAAGTAATACAGTAGACATGACAGGCAACAAGTTTATTTAGCAGAATCCCTAAAGTAAAGGCTTGAAAAAATTATAAATTCCTAGTGCAACTGATGATACAATGTTACTAATATGGAAGCTGCAAAATATAGAAGCATTCTAAAAACAGTATCTTCCCCTAAAAGAAGAAAAATATTTAATTTAGTTATTAAAAATGATCATCACCGGAGCAGGAGGGCAATTCTATAAATATTTAGTTCCTCACTTCAATAACCCTAACCTTCCAAAGCACATTTTGTCCTTGCCTTACGGAAGACAAGTGAAAATTTGATGACATTACATTGACACAAAGTACTGTGCTACTCTATTTGCTTCTGCCACAAATTGTTAAGGTTACACTGCTACAGATCAAACTACCACTTCAACCACCAAAACTGAAATAAAACAAAATTAACCTGTAACTGTCATAAAGGTCCAAGAATCTTCTAATAAGGTAACAAAAACTGGCACAGCACGTTGTGGTTGAAAAGCTAAATAAGTGTTTGTTAACTATTTGGACTCCTCTCCTATACATATACTTAGTTTAGAGAAAACCTCTAAAAATAAGCACCGAGCGAGGACACCATTCCATTTTAAGTTATTCACAAAACCAACTGTTCAAGAACTTTTGGAAAAAGATTGAAGACATTCTTTCAAGTAGTTAAGAATAATCTTTGTCCATAATAACGAAACATGTACGACCATGAGACGAAAGCGAAGGGGGGGTACCCCTACTAGAAAACGGACAAGCAGGCAGATTTACAAACCCTCAAAGGAATTTTGAGATTAACTTCTCTCAAACGCCCTCCCTGCGCCCGCTTCCTTCTCTCCTCAGGGAGGTCTGTGTAATGTGACTCATGACAAAATTTTTAAAATAAATAAATAAATAAAAGACACACCCTCTGGGCCGAACTGACATAATCACCCCCACCCCACCCTGCGCGACAAGCACCCCGCTTTTCCTCTCCCTTCGGCCGCCTCCCGGCGCCTCGTCCCAGCCTCTCCTCGCGCCTCTCGGGTCCCGCGCCGAGCACAGCCGGGACCCGGGACAGCAGCCGACGGCCGGGGCTTCCGGGGCAGCAGGACCCGGGGAGTCGGGCCGCAGAGCGGGAGCCGAGGCGGACTCCCGCCGGCTCCCTCGCCCATTTTCTCCCTCAGCTTCGCTCAGCTTCCACCGCCGCGGCCACTTCCTGTATCGCAGCCCGGCCACTTGCCTCGCCCCGCCGGGCTGCGGCTGCGGCTGCGGCTGCGGCTGAGTTGAGGTGAGGCTGAGGCGGCGGCTGAAGCACGGGAAGCTCCCCACCGCGCCCAGCGGGTCGTCGGCCCGGCCCGCGCCCGCGCCCCTCACCTGTATGTAGTTGTTTTCACAGTAGTCCGCCACCCGGGTCAGATTTTGGTAACTCTCTATGAGCGCCCTCTTGCCAGACGGGATCTCCTCCTCTAGTAACATCTGCAGCTCTGCCATTTTCCACCCCTCTGCATCGCTTCCTCTCGCGTTAAAGAGACAGAGGCAGCAAGGTCCGCCGCAGCTCCGAGCACCTCACAGCCCGGATACAAACCGCCTCCCCGCCCTCCCGCCGGGTATTGTGGGTCCGCACCTCCTCTTCTTCCTCCTCACTTTCTCCGCCCCCCTCCACCCACTTCGCGCAACCGCCGCAACCGCTTTCTCGCGCGAGATTTCATTTCTCTCCTGTGGCATTGTCTTCTGGGTATTGTAGTCTCTCATTGGCTGGGTGTCCCATCAAAAGCGCATGCGTCCAAGGCAGCCTCCAAAAAATAAATGGGAGGAGCGTAGAGAGCAGAGTTTCTGTACAGCTCCGGAAGATGGCGCCACGGATTGATTTTAGAAAATGATAGCCTTACCCCGAAAAGGCTGTGAAACTTGTCTTTGATCAGTTTGTAAAATGTAAAATGATCATTGTGAAATGTAAATCAATCAGAGCTATGTAATCAGATAAGGATTAGAAATAGAAACTCCAAACCTTTGCTTTCTCTGTCTTGTGACAGATGTGACTCAGGCTTTACCTTCTAAACTCCTAACCCACACACGTCAGTTTTAAAGTTTAAGACACATTTATTGATTGCCAGCTGTGTACCAAGCAATGTGCTAAACACTGGGATACAAGTTGCAGGAAGATACTCCATACCCTGAAAGACCCAAATTTAAAAGTCACTACTCAGCCAGATGTGTTGACACATGCCTTTAACTCTACCACCCTTGGAGACTGAGGCCAGAGGATCACAATTTTGAACACAGCCTGGACAATGTACCATTTTAACAAGACCCAGTCTCAATTTTTAAAATAATAAAAAGAATAGGGATGTAGCTCGATGTGAAGAACCTGTGTTCATTTTTCAATACTGCAAATAAATAAATTCACATAACTTTAAATACTTTCCTGTCTTTATTTAATCTTACACCTTCCTTTGCACCTATCTTCATGTTCCTTTTAGATCATGCACATATTTTTTTTCCTGATTGTTTCTGTTTTATATCATCACCTGCTTTCGAAGATTTTCAAAACATCTTTCAAGCTTTCCTTTACACAGGACATTAAATTCTTTTGATATAATAAAGTGTTGTCCGAGAAATGTCAACTATTCAACATGAAGGTGGAGGTTGATAAGCTAGAACTGATGGCTGGAATATGAAATCAAGTCTAATCATCGTGATTCAGCAGGAGAGAAAAATCCAGTAATGCTCTTAAAGGAATTGTCAGCCATAAAATCTCAATATCAAACTTTGTATGCATGTTTTAAACCTGTTGTTATTGAACAGAAAGGGATTAAGAGCCGCATTTACACTACTTTGAATAAGACTATGACCATGATAGAAGAACTACGAAAGCAAACAGATATGGAACTGTTAACACTGACTGAAGAAGAAAAAACT